TGCGTGGTCTCGAAACCAGCGTGGATTCATGTACGTGTACGTCTTTCTTTCGCTCCTGAATGTCGGGCGTGTCCCTCTACAGGGGGATGTTCGACGAGAAATAATAAAGTACCCCAACAATGCCCCAAAAAGGCAACAAAAAGTACCCCCAAACATAGTCCCCAGACTATGTTTGGATCCTGCTTCTTTTACTGTTTAAAGGTATTTCCTATGTTTCCTCGAAAATCCCCCTGTAAGGGGGCAGGCCCGACTTAAACAGATCTGGATCCAGCATCCACGGCCTCGGTGGCTGGGCCCCTGGGCGGCGACCCTTTAGAAGTAAGTCGGGCCTGTCCCTCTACAGGGGGATTGTGGGCGAACATTTAAAAAAACAAAACTCAACAAATGCCCCCCGAAAGGGCAAACGTAGTAAAAAAATCGTCCCCAGACTATTTTTGAACTATTTGGGGATATCCCTCCTGTAGAGGGCCAGGCCCGACTTAAGTTTAGAATCGGGGCGTTTTTTTCCGCGGATGCCCCGCGCGGAGCGTGTCCGTGCGACCCTGTATCCACAAGATCGCGCCCCAGCCGTCTTGCTGACGGTCCCGAGGCCCGGCAAAGGACCCGGGTCTGGGGACGAGGCTGCCGTGAGATTTCGAGGCCGTCGCGCGGTCCGTCACCCACACTGCTCTGGGGAACCCCCGAGCTCTGGGACCGTCGGCAGGCATCGTCGGCAGTCCCCGCGAACAAGGGCTTCGCCAAACCAGGGCACCGCATCGGCACGCTCCGGGAGACCGCAGCCGCAGGCCGAGGCCTTCTCTCCGCTCCTCGCTTTCTCCTGCAGGGTTTCGCTGATGCCCGGCTCCGGGGACGCCTGGCACTCCAAGCTCCGCGCCCCCCTCAATCCCTTGGGAAAAAGGGAGGGGGGGCTTCCGAAGCTACCTCCGCCCCCCCCCCGTTTTGTAGGCATGTTTCGGAGCCCGGGGGGGCCCTATCTAAAGGGGGGGAGGCTTGGAAGCTACGTACCCCCTCCTCCTTTTTGGGGGCCAAAGGCCAGCCCGGGCTCACCTGGGGGAGGGGGGGCCTTTCGGAAGCTACCCCCCCCCTAGGGGTGCCCCACGGGCGCGCTCTCTCAAACCTGGGTTGCATTCACCCACGTCTCGAGGCTCCCGATCCCCCCTCCCCCTCCTCCTCCTCCTCCTCCTCCTCCTCCTCCTCCTTCTCCCTCTCTTCTTCTGCTTATTATTCTTCTTCTTCTTCTTATGTTTCTTCTTCTTCTTATGCTTATCATTATTATTATTATCATCATTATTATTATTAATATTCCTATTCCTACTAATATGTTATTATTATGGTTGTTATTATTATTAGTAGTAGTATTAGTATTATTAATATTATTAGTATTACTATTATTATGATCATTAATACGACTATCATTACTACTATTTTAGTAGTGGTCGTAATAGTATTAGTATTAATAGTATTATTATTATTAATATGATTAGTATGATGCTTATCATTATGTTGATTATTATTAGTATTAGAATACTCTTATTATTATTACTATTACTATCGGTATTTTTATTAGTATCAACATTATTATTCGTATTATTACTATTGCTGTTAGCATTATCATTACTGTTATTATTATTATTACTATTATTATTATTCCTCCTCATCTTCCTTTTCCTCCTCCTCCTCCTCTTTCTCCTCCTCCTCCTCCTCCTCCTCCTCCTCCTCCTCCTCCTCCTCCTCCTCCTCCTCCTCCTCCTCCTCCTCCTCCCCCCCCTGCAGGGGTCCTGGCCGGCCGCGCAAGTGGCGGCCCTGGGCGGGGGCACCGCGCCGGAGTCGACGGCGTCCTGCAGTCGCGAGGGTTGGGGGTGCGCAGCGGGCCGTCGCCGCGACCTCTAGACGCCTCCCCAGATGAAGGTGTGGCAAAAAAAACGCAGACACAATTCATCGTCGACTTCCCAGAGAATGCGGGAAACTATGAGAAGTGGGGGGGGGAAAGACAAACACCCAAACAGTTCTTTGCAAAATAAAAAGAATCCTGGGTGGTGTGCGTATTTCTTTGTGTGTCCCAGAACTCGCGTGGCGGCCCCGCCCCATTTTGGCACACCCCTCACACGTTTCGTGGCCCCATAGGGAGCTCCACCTAAGGTCCCAGCGGCGGAACTCGCATGGTGGCCTCACCCCATTTTGGCACATTCCTCACACGCTTCGTGGCCCCATAAGGAGCTCCACCTATGGTCCCAGTGGCGCAGCTCGCACGGCGGCCCCACCCCATTTCGGCACACCGCTCACACGCTTCGTGGCCCCATAGGGAGCCCCACCTATGGTCCCACTGGCGCAGCTGGCATGGCGGCCCCGCCTCATTTTGGCACACCCCTTCGCTCGCTTCGTGGCCCCATAGGGAGCTCCACCGAAGGTCCAATTGGCGCAGCTCGCATGGCGGCCCCGCCTGGCACGCCCCTCACACGCTTCGTGGCCCCATAGGGCCATAGGGGGCTCCACCTATGGTCCCAGTGGCGCACTTCGCATGGCGGCCCATTGGCGGAGTCCGTGTGGCGGCGACATTTCGATATTTGGAAATTGTTCGTCGTCTTCGGCGTATGGAAGCCGCTTTCGGCCCCCGGGGCCATCCGAAATCGCTCAGGGGGAGGAGGAGGAGGAGGAGGAGGAGGAGGAGGAGGAGGAGGAGGAGGAGGAGGAGGGGAGGAGGAGGAGGGGGAGGAGGAGGAGGAGGAGGAGGAGGAGGAGGAGGAGGAGGAGGAGGAGGAGGAGGAGGAGGAGGAGGAGGAGAGGAGGAGGAGAGAGGAGGAGAAGGAGGAGGAGGAGGAGGAGGAGGAGGAGGAGGAGGAGGAGGGCCGTGCTTCCTATCGAGCGCTTTCTCATCCCAGTGGTCGGAAGCGCGCACGGGCTATGGCGGCACTGATCGTGACGACGACGACGCCGACGACGAGCAGTCCGCAGCCAAACCTTCTCTCGGTCCCGTGGACTCTCGTCCTGGGCCGTCGGCTGTCCGGCGCGCTGCTCCTTCGGCCGACATCGCCCAGGCGTAATCCTGGACTGCGGCCGCCACGAGGCCGGGAACGGCAAGAAGGAGGACGACGACTGGTGGCTGGAGCTCTACGTGCTGCTCTCGCGCGCCACGCGCCGCGAGGACCTCCTGCTCAAGCGGGCGCCGCGCATCGAGTTCTTTCTGGCAGGGCTGCCGGAGGGCTTGCGGAAGCAGCTGGAGCAGTGCAGAAGGGAGGCGACGGCCCTCGCCAGGGAGCTGGGCTTCACCGAGTTTATCCGCGACGCTTGACCTGAGGAGCGGCCCGCCCGAGCCTCGCCGCTCCTCAACGGTCTGACTGTTCGGCCTCCCGCCGCGGGCGACCCGCGCGAGTCGCTGGGACCCTCTCGGGGCGACCAGCGCGCGTCGCAGGAATTCCGCGCTGCGCTCTGCCCAGAGCCTCGCTCGCCCCCGTCGTCGCTCTGCCCAGCGGCCACTACCTCGCCCGCTATCAGCCAGCTAGCTCTCTCTGCTCCGCGCAGCGGACGACCCGCGCGCGTGGCCGGGACCCCTTCGGAGCGACCCGCGTGCGTCGCGGGGAGTCCGTGCGGCGCCGCGCCCGCAGTCATGGACATCGGCGTGCACGGGCAACGAGACAGCAAAAAAAGGGAAGGAAGCAGGCGCGATCCTCGTGAGGAGCGTGCCGACATGGGCGTCGACATTCATGCACGTAGACCGACTCGCACGCAGACTCATTCACAATCAAACTCACTCGCGCTCAGGCTCATCCGTTATCAGTCTCTCGCACTCAGACCGACCGTCTTTGTTCGTACTGTGGACCCCGCCACGCATTTCGGAAGGCCCCCTCACACGGCTCGTGGCCCCATAGGGAGCGCGAGCGAAGATGATACTCACAATTGCGGTATTCACAACTGCACATGGTTGGGTCCTTCGCCACGCTCATTTTCTCCTCCGGTTCCCTCGGCTCAACACCGTGTTCGCGCGGTCCCTCCTATCACCTGTCCGGCCCCGCCGCCCCGGCCAGTAGCCAGGGGGATGGGGGGGCTCACGCGCAAAGCCTGGGCAAGGACGCCACATGCTTTGGGGAGTGCCCCTGAAAGGAGGAACCTTGGGTGTCCTAAAACCGTGTGGTGACAGACCCGGCGGTGACCTCGAAACCCGCAAAGACCTCACCGCATGGTCCGTCACCACACGGTTTTGGGACCCTGGAGGTCCCAACCGCCCGAGACATCCTCGGAGAACGACCCAAGTCCCAAAACCGTGCGGTGACCCCGAACCCCCACCGACTCACCACACGGTGTGGTCACCAACCCGCTTGGGGGCCCCCGAGAAACGGGGGGGCTGGCTCGACGGGGGGGGGGGGCACGCTAACCCGGAAGCGGCGACGCCCCGCCGGTGGCTCTGCGGCAGGCCCCCGATGTCGACACCGCGCGCCCCTCGGCAGGGTGGGGCACGCAGGGCCCGGGTCGGCAATGCACCGGCGATCGGGGGTCGACGCTCTTCCCCTCGGGGGGCCAGGGCGCCGCGCCCCCCCCTCCCCCCCCTGGTCGGCGCCCCGTACAGAGGGAGGTGGGAGGACGAGGAGGAGGTCCGGGATTCCACTCGAGGCTTCCGCGCGAGGCCGTCCGCGCGGCACGGGCGCAGCATGCCAGGACCACCAGCACCAGTGGTGAAGACACAGCACGAGACCGTCCCCGTCAACCCTGGCTGATCTGGCCCGGTTCGAGAAAAAGATCCCAGGCGTGGGAGGCGGCACATCTGCCGGCGGCCCCCCCCGCTCGCCGCTCTCCGCGGCAGGAGCGGAGGGAAGCGGCACGGCTGCACCCGCCGAAACGCCCCAGAGGAGGAGGGCAGGGAGAGCGGGGAGGACCGGAAGGAGGCGGGAGGAGGCGGAGGGCGCGAGCGGCGGGGGCGGGGGCGGCGCCTGGTAGCACTCAAAGATCGCCAGCTCCACGAGCCGCATCGCCTGCACCTGCAGGTCCTCCCACGAGTCGGGCGTGGCCTTCAAGCGAGGGACAGGCGGAGCGGCCCTCCCTCGGGCGAGGAGGAGGAGGAGCAGCAGAAGGAGAGAGGAGAGAGGAGGAGAAAGGAGAGAGGAGAGAGGAAAGAGGAGGGAGGAGAGAAGCGGATGAGGAGGAGGAGGAGGAGGAGGAGGAGGAGAAGGCGAGAGGAGGAAGAGGTGAGAGGAGGAGGAGGAGGAGGAGGAGGAGGAGGAGGAGGAAGAGGAGGAGGAGGAGGAGGAAGATGAGGGACAGGATGATGAGCGTGCAGCTGATAGCACCAGCAGGAGGAGGTCAAGGTCAGGGTCAAGGCGCGCACTGGGATGAATCCAGGCGGCGGCGGCAGCCGCGCTGCAGCGAAGGGCAGGAAATATCATGGCGATCGATGCTGAAACAAGCTGTAAGTTATGGCTCGTTTACCATGCGGCTCACACCCGCGTGGACGCGGGTCATTGAGGCACTGTATATGTGGCGTCATTCTTCGGGCAGAAACAGGAAACGCAGGAGGAACAGCAGCAGGAAAAAGGAGACGCAGGAAGAGAGATGGAGGCGACCACTCCGACAAGCTGGCGGCGACAGTGGTGTGGCGGACGATGGCGGAGACACGGCTGATACCTCCCTCGATCCAGTCGCCTGTCCTCGCTATCTCTCTTGAAGTTCATGTGACTGCGCCTGCATTGTTGCTGCCATCGCGCCTGCAGGTGGCAACGCCGTGGCCACCAATACTGGGATCACTGCAGCACTGCTGGTCCTAGCGCTTTCAATGCACATTCCAGGCCCTTCATCGTGCAGCAGCCTCCGGAAAGCCACCCAAAGCACCATAATAGACCTGAAGATAATTCGGGGCGCCGCACGGCACCTGCTCGCCCACCTACGCGAACAGCCCCTAATTCTCACGAGAGCCCGTAAGACACTCCCACGAGGCTGAACAACATTGATCATCGGCGACGGAACTTGGAGGCGATGTTATCCTACCCGTTGCCCGCCATCTACCAAGCGAATGCTCACACCAACGCGAGCTGCACAGAGCAACTGTTGGAACGAAAGTATCGCAGCCATAACAAACTACCTAACGGCCGAATGAGCAAAGCGCTTGAATATGGCCATTTCTGTCCTTTAGGGCGTAGGCGGTTAGGACGCTTGCTCTGCTCCCCCTTCGGGGAGGGGCTCATCACTGCTCCAGATGAATGCACAACCCCCCCGCACCCGATCAGCACCAAACCCGAGACCATGACAACACCGCCCCGCCGTCCATTTCCAAAATCAATGCGAAATGCATGTTGCACCACAGTCTGGTCCATGCACGGGCGCCCCGCGATCACTTCGCATTTGTTTTTGAAAAGAACGGTGTGGGTTCTGGCATGTTGCCTGGTGTGTGCAATGCTGTCACCCCCCCCACCATCCCTCACAACAAACAGTGCAAAGTGCACCTGCACCAAAAAAATTAATCATGCGTGGGCGCCCCACGATCGCTTTGAATGGTTGTTGAAATGTACGGCTTGGGGGGCGGCGTGTTGCCTGCTGTGCGCAATACATTGCAGCCAAAACAACGCGAGTGCATTTTACACCAAAACCTAAATTATGCGCGGACGCCCCGCGATCACATTGTAGTGGTTGTTGCCAAGGACGGCGGGGGGGCGACATACTGCCTGCTGCGCGCAGGCCCGTCATTTGCTCTAACAGGGAATGCGAAGTTCACTTTGCCAAGGACTGCGGGGGGGGGGGAGGCATACCGCTTGCATTGCAGGCGCACCATCCACGTTGAAAACCACTGCAAGGTGATAGCGGGCGCCCACCCACGAACAATACACAATGCTCGCAAACCCGGGCAGGGCAGTCGGCATGTTGCTCAATGTGGCACACCCGATGCGCGTGGCACCCCTGGGTCGTGCGGCGCACCTCGCGGCCATCTCGGACCTGGATGGCGTCTGCATTGGGTCCCGGATCCCGATGGTTATCGATGGCAGCCCCTGCCTGCGCTGAGACTCGGGTGCTACTTATGTAATGTGAGGGCGGGGGGGAGTGACCGGCACGTCTTGCGGCTTGAAATCAATGGATCATTGCTCCTGATTGATACACACCCCCTCCCCCACCCGGCCGGCGTCCAACCCGGAACCGTGCCGACTTCATGAGGGCCCGCCCCCCACCATCCCTTTTGAAAAAACAATACAGACCGCACTCAGCCTCCACATGTGGAGCATGCGCGGCCAACCCGATGCGGCCCCCCCGCCCCCACCATCCCTATCAAAACAATGCGAAGTACACGTTGGGGCAAAGTCTTGGGCCATGTTCGCGAGGCCCGCGAGCACTTCGTATTGTTTTTGACAAGGACGGCGGGGGTGTCAGCATATTCTCTGGTGTGCGCAGTTCTACGATCCCTGACAACAAATGCAACATGCACCTGGCGGCTAAACCTGGACCGTGCGCGGCCATCCCGCGATCACTGTCAAGTGGTTTTTGACAGAGCCAGCGGGGATGGTGGCCAACGACCAAAACACCAAAACACCAAAACACCAAAACAACAACAACAACAACAACAACAACAACAACAACAATCATTTTACCCGAACGCGTGGTGTTCTCCCCAGTGCCAGGGTTTTCATACGACACCAGGCAATACCCCCACTTCGTGGGGGGGCATTACAAGCTCTACCAAATATCCAAACGACTCTTCGCGACCACCCAAACCCAGCTTCCCGCCCTATGACGTTGGGACACTTCACTTCGTGGCGTGCGGACGACCGTGGCTACTACACTGGCGTGGGGTACACACCCACAGAACCCAATGGTTTTTGGAGATTTCGGCGTGCGCGCGCGAAGAAAAAACGAATGTGTCCCGCATGGTATTATTTGACAGGGATGATGGCCCTGGCAGGTGCGCAACCGTTGTCGCAGAAGTTCGAAAAAAGTTGCTCGCAAAAGCCCGTTTGACAGAAATGTTGAAAAAGAGTTGGGTTTCCTACGAATCCGCAAGAGCGCGCGGGATGAGATTTTGACATTTTTTTTGTTGAAAAACCATTGGTTTTTTGATGTTTTTATGTTGAAATCGCTCCGAACACTAAGCTTTTGGAAGGATTTCGTCTTGCACGCGCGAATGTCCACTTTACCTTATTTTTTGCAAGGGATTCTTGAAATTTGATTACATTTGAACAAGAAATTTCATTTTATAGTGTTTTTTGCAAGGGAAAGCGGGGGGGAACAAAAAACCGGATCCGGTGACAATCCACTTTTCTGAAGCTTTCGCTAGAAAATGAAGGAAATGAGGCTGCGGCCTAGGTTTTGGAGGGGGGTCGCGCACCAGGGGTCTCAACAATAATATTTCTTTAGAAGTAATAATATTCAACAACAATACTAATAATAATAATAATGATACTAATAAAAATTTGAAGACCGTTCGCCCACTTATGCTCGAGTGTCCAATAACGCGTATGTCCCAAACCTTCGATACCCGCCCTTTTCGTCTTCGATCGAACCCCTTTTGGGGGGTATACCTTTCTTCCCTGCAGGCCGGGCCCCGGCAAGCGGCGGGGCGGCCGCGGACCGTCGGCCTGGCCAGCGGCAGCGCTGATCGGCGGGGCGGCCGCAGACCGTCGACCCGACCCCAAAGAGGGACGGACAGGGGACCGACCACGGCGACGACGACAACGACGACGACGACGACGTCGAAGACGACGGCGACGACGACGAGGACGGCGACGACGAGCGAAAGCGAGAGCGAGGGAGAACGACAGCAGGGCCACGAAGGGCACGAAGTAGGTCACGAAGGGCGACAGCGGGGACACGAAGGAAATGCGTATGGGGCCACGAAGAGCACGAACGAGCGGGGGCCACGAAGTGCAGATAATGCGGGGCCACAGAAAGCAACTATGGGGCCACTGAGGGTATCAACTGGGCCACGTAGGACAGTGAGGGGGACACAAATGGCGACAGCGGGGCCACGAAGGGCATGCACATGGGGCCACAACGGGCGCGACTCCTCGGTGCCTGGGCGTCGGGAGCGCGGCGCTTTGGCAAATTGCAGGCCATTCCAACGCAAGGCCATTCTTCAGTAAGTTGCGAGCAAGTCTCCAGCGAGAGCGCGACTCCAGAGCCCCCGGAGAGCGATTCCTGAATAAATTGTAAGGAAGTCCTGAGCGAGAGCGCGATTCCTGAATAAAATGCGAGGAAGTAAAGGGCGGGAGCGGGGGTCCTGGCTAACTTGTAAGGAAGTCTCAAGCGGGAGCCGTTGTTGTTGTAACCCGGGGGCCATGGGCGCAGTTTGAGCATCAAGACTTTCCTTGACCAAAATAAAAAAACAGGGTGCGAGCGTCGAAGGGCACACTTTGATTGAGAAAAACAGTATGCACGCACATGAAGTATCACTCGTGCAACTTCTTCGGTGGAACACACGACGCGACGATGCTCTGACGGAGAACTGCAGCCTCATGGTGAAATCGCAGAAGTCATGGTGAAATTATGACTAGCCTCAGGGGAATCACTGGATCTCGCCGAGGCTGGAAGCAGCGCAGGGGAAAGATCAACGCGTACCGGCCTGGCTTCGGCGCCGACGAGGCCCTGCACTACGTGGAGCACATGGTGGGATTTGCCCACGCGTTCAAGCAGGATCTTTGGATCGTGAGCCTGGACCTCAACAAGGCGTTCGATAAAGTCTTCCACGAATCGGTTATCGAAGCAATACTGCAGCAAGGTGTACATGTGGCGCACGCTTCCTTATTGCAAAAGCTGTTTTGGGGACAGACGGGCCAAGTTGGCACAAGCGACGTCTTTCAGCTCTTCCGGGGCGTTCGCCAGGGTGACGTCTTGAGTCCGTCTTTATTCAACGCAATAATGGAGATGGCGTTCAACAGATGGAAGGGCCGCCTCACAACGCAGGGATGGGAATTCCCAGGACAGGCAGAACGCCTCACGAACATCCCATTCGCAGACAATGTGTTGCTTTATGCCCGGTCGCTGGAGGACGCCAAAATCATGCTCTCGCTTTTAATTGAGGGGTTCCAGGCCG